TAGCCCACAGGCTGTTTTTTAAAAAAAAGGTATTTCTTGCTTTATTAAAGATATACAGAATTGTAATGAGACAGTTGTGCACCAGGCTCAGCTATTGTGGCCAGAATATCCAAATAACTGAAAATTCAGAACAACCACCTGAGACAGTGGTCATGACATCTGTGCCCTATGGTTTAGGCAAGTTGTCTCTGCAACTACTGAACACAACTGACTTATCTGAGACTTGTACAGAGAATCGCCTATGAAAAGCATTCTGGGTTGCAGAGAGTATGCTTCAGTTGAAACCACATAGGAATTATCAGGCATTAGGGTGATCCCCGCCCCAGCTACTGGCCTACTGTTTGTGTGTTTTTCTATGCCTGGGCTGATTTCCAAGCCAGGCACTGAAAAACACTAGAAGCCTGACTCAGCCTTTCTCAGCCTTTCTCCCACTTTCATCTCAAATAACAGTACTGTGATAGAGCTGACATGTCCAGAGATTATTACATGGATTTCTGCTACTCTGCATCATTACCTAAGCTGTGTCGCATGGTAGCATCACTTCTTGATTGTGGGAGCAGATGCCTGGTAGGGCTATTCCCTGGTGGAAATTCTCCTTGATTAGTCACAGTGGCCATCTGTTAGGAGGTAGGAGGACTGCCTGATTGCCATCTGAGTGCTCTTTCCTCCTCCCTACTATCTGCATCCCCACCCCAATAATGGTTTCTGTGGAATGCTGATCCTTCAACCAGCAACATTATGGTTGGGGAGTGGAACCTGAGTGTGCAATTCTTCTCAAAGGCCTTGTCTGCATGGGCCAAGCGGCCCATTCTACACACACACACACACGTTTTGGCATTGTTATTGCACCACAATTCGCCTGTAGGGTAGATGCAGGATTTAAAAATCAAAGGTGGGTTTTATTGCACAGCCCCATAATGAGGATTTTCCTATTATTGAAAAATCGCGTGAGAAGCCTGGAGAAGCATAGGTTGCATATGGAACAGTGTAATAAAACCTGTCTTTGACTGATAAATCCTGCATCTATTCTGCAGGAGAATTGGTAATGAGATAATCTCCATTGTCAGAACCAGGGTATTGTTGTTGTGTGCCTTCAAGTCATTTCTGACTTCTGGCGACCCTATCATGGGGGCTCTTGGCAAGATTTGTCCAGAGGGGATTTGCCATTGCCTTCCCCTGAGGCTGAGAGAATGTGACGTGCCCAAGGTTTCATAGCCAAGTTGGGAATTGAACCCTGGTCTCCAGAGTCATAGTCCAATATTCAAACTACTACATCACACTGGCTCAGGAAAAAAAAATATATATCTGTGACTCCAGATCTTCCAGGAACCCCATGCAAACAGCTATGGCAGTTCTGGAATGGAGGCTAGGGTAACAGGAGCAGGTTGGGGCAACTGGGGGCCAGGATACTCCAGACTGCCCCCGTAGTATCCTGGCTAATGCAGACATGACCATAGATTCCTCCTCTGTTTCAGAAAAAACATGGGTGTACAACATTGGCTTCTGTAACTGATGGGCAGTTTACTATTTCTATATTGGTTGTCTTACATTAATCAGGCCATTTCTGATGATGAATCTTTCATTTGCTGCTCTTATTAATAACCTCAAATCCTAAGGGTTAATAAAGACTGTCTTAGGCTCTTAGCAAACCTCCCTGGAAAATAAAACTGTGGGTTTGCAAGCTTCAAATCTAAGCCCCCTCATCTGTATAAATAAATGGGAGAAAATGTAGTGACCTAGGGCCTTATCACACGGGGTCTAAAGCAGTCCCGCCCCTGCACCATCAATGCGCCATCGTGGTTTTTTCCCCCGTGTTTCCACACGACGTCGCAGAGAAACCCCGCCCATCCCTGCGCCATCCCTGCGCCATCCCGGATCCTTGTCCCGTGTTTCCACACGATGTCGCAGAGAAACCCCGCCCATCCCTGCGGCATCGCAGATCCTTGTCCCATGTTTCCACACGACGTCGCAGAGAAACCCCATCTATCCCTGTGCCATCCCTGCCCCATTCCAGCATCACCCGGCGTCATCCCCGTTCTTTTGAATGCCGGGTTCTTTTGGGAATTACATTTGCTGATGCCGGAATAATGCTGCTTTCTATACCGCAAGGGAAAAGGAACCGCGGTGGCTCAGGGATGGCGCAGGGATGGGACTGCTTTAGACCCCCATGTGATAAGGTCCCTAGTTCTTTTGATTGTGGTATTTACAAGCATTTTGTAAATGAAAAGTAATGTAAAATGATTGATAACAATGATAATCTGGCACAAAGTGGGACACATTGATGCCTCATATACTGTAGGACACAGAATGATTACAGGGCAGGAGTTTTTGTCATCAGCATGAAGGTAAAATCCTTATGGTAGAACTACAGCATTACGCATAAGTAATACAGAAGCCAAACTCAATGTTACAAAAGCAAACTGGCAGATCAGATGCCAGAATAAGGCTGCCTCTGAATTCCTATAAAATGTGTGCATGTGCAGGGAGAGTGTATTTGTGCAATTTTAAAACCAGAATGTGAAAGCAGAAGAGGGTGGCGGCCACTTCTTTTCAGACAGGCTCGTGCAGGGAAACAAGTTTAGAAACAGCTTAGGAACAAAAAACAAAGGTGGAAGAAAAGTTTCATACCTAGATTCATGCTGTGAGTTCCATGTCTCTGTTTCTTATCCTGATCCAACAATATTTTATAACTATTTGTGTGTGTGTGTGTGTGTGTGTGTGTGTGTGTGTGTGTGTGTGTGTGTATGTGTGTGTCAGTCAGTGTCCTATAGTCAGTCATGCCATAGGCAATTGGTTGGCCATTTTGTGATTTTTGTTGGATTAGTGAGGCCTTTGGTCTGATTTAGCAGGGTTCTTCTGATGGTCTTTGGTCCCACCTTTCCATCAATGAGCTCAGGACACCATACGTGGTTCTCTTCCTCCCTACTTTATCCTCACAACAGAAAGTGACTGGTCCAAGGTCACCCAGTGAGTTTCTCAGTTCACTGGGGACCTGAACCCGGATTTCTTAGGTCATTAGTCTCTGAATTTAAGAAGCTCCAGAGGTTGCATGTTACCACTGCTCTCCAGTAACAAGAGGTTTTTCTTCTCCAAAGTGTTGTGATGCTACAATTGTAATAAAAATATTCCAGCTCTCCACTGCTTGAAGGAGTGCTTTGTAATCAAGATTCTAGAATAACACATTTTACCGTCAGGAAACAAGCCTTGCATTTAATCTACTTGTGTACTATGGAGTCCTTGTCATATTTTATTGTTATTGTGTGCTTTCATGTCACTTATGGCTTATGGCACCTCTCTAAGGTGAACCTATCGGGGCGGGAGGTTAGGCATATTTCTTCAGAGGCGATTTGCCATTGCCATCATCTGAGGTTGAGAGAGTGTGACTTGCCCAAGGTCACCCACTGGATTTACATGGCTTAGCCACATGCAGAAGTAATAATCTAAGATGTACTTGAAAAACTGACTGTGCAAATTGGCCTCCTTGTCAGTGGCATCACTAGGGGTGGCATCACAACACCCATTGACCTCCTCCTTTATCACACCATACAGAATCCTTAGTAATGTTTTTTTGTACTAATGGTACTCATAAATTGTAATTCCCATATATCACTGAATGTAATGGTAATAGTTGTCACATAAAACAACTAGCAAAATTAAAATGTACACCTTTAAATTACAATATCATGTGCACAAACTAAATGTAATTACCTGTACATAGTTTCATGTAATTGAAGTGAAAATTTGGTAAGATGTGATGTTTTAAAAGAAAATTTAAAAAGGATAAGAAACTAATGTTTTTAACATTTAACATTTATTTTTTTTAAATCCTGAGGTCTCTCCTTTCTTCCCATGGAGCCTCATTCCACTCATACAATCCCTTCAGCATTTTAAAGGGACCCAGGTGAACGCTACTGCCTGTTTCTGCCAAAAGGCAGAAAGGCAGATTTTTGGGGAGCAGTGGTGTCACCTCCCCTTTAGGGTGTCACCTGATGCAACCCCATATTCCCTGCACTCCCTAATGACACTTCTTTTCCTTGTAGACTAGACTGCTCTTTGCTCCTTCTGCATCCCTCCAAATAAACTATGAGCACATTCCACAGTCCTCAAAATAAAAGTAAATGAATCAGACTACTAATAATCAGAACTCTTGTTAGAGGATAGTTCTCATAGTTTTGTTTTTCAAATGGAATATGTCTTATTCTTATTATTCAACAAAGCTGCAGTTCACACAGTTGAAGTCTGAGACCTAAAACTTCCCAGACACCTGAAAGTGAAGTTCATTGTTCTTCTAAGAGTGAGGTCAGTGATCTTATATGTTGTGCGCGTTTCATGAGTTTCCTGTCTTCGTCTAGTCTTATCGTCTTCTTTAATCAGATAATAAAATTCCATTATCCATTCATTTTCATTTAAAAAGCTGTGCAATCATCACTGCTGCAAACAACACATCTTCATCTGATTCCAGTGCCAGCTGCCATTTCTTGGGCTAAATCCAAATGGTATTTCCAACTAGATTTAGGCAGCTGCCTTACTGCAGAATTAATGCAATTTGAAACATACTCATTGCTCCATCCTATGGGATCCTGGGATTTCTAGTTTGTTGTGGCAGTGGTACCAGAGCTCTTTGACAGAGAAGGCTAAATCTCTCACAAAACTACAGATCCCAGAATTCCATAGAATTGGCAGTTAAAGTGCTGTCAAAATGCATTATCTCTGCAATATAGATGTTGTTTCAGTGAATCAAAGAGTTTTGCCTACATGTAAATTTACCATTTACATGTAGGCAGTTGATGAAATCAGTTTGTTCTAGTTGGGACTAACAATTGGATTTACACATCTCCCCTTCAATTCTTTCAGATTCTATTCAAGTTATTCTGTTGCCAGATTAATTGCCAGAAATCAGAGGATGAAAGGATTAAAGAGGATATTGACAAGTAGGAGACCTCTGACTGGCAGAGATGACTCCTTGAACTTTTGAAGAAATGGAATGGTGGAACCAACATGGCATAGTGGTTTGAATGTTGGACTATGACTCCAGAGACTAGGGTTCAATTCCCAGCTCAGCCATGACAGCCACTGGGTGACCTTGGTCAGGTCACATGCTCTCAGTCTCAGGTGAAGGCAGTGGCAAACTTCTTCTGAACAAATCTTGCCAAGAAAAGCCTATGATAGGTTTGTCTTAGGGTCGCCATATGTTGGAAATAATTTGAAGGCACACAACATACACAGCCAGGTCATCTACAGCAGAGGGAAAAAACTTCTTCATATGCTTGTCCCCTGCCCCCACATTCGCATAAAGAAAGCTATGAGGAACTGGAAAGAATCTTCCCTTTTGAATTTTATTAATTATGAGCATGATCATATACTGGCTACCCATTTTTCTTGCTGCTGACCATGGACTCAGAAATGCAGGAAATGAACCTAGAAAGGCAGATATGTCTTTCCTCAGGGGCTCCTCATCTAGTCAGTCATCAAAGTACCCCAGGTGTCCTAGGTAAAATAATTAGGATGGACAGATGGCCATGAGAACAATGGAAACCAAATGTGGGGATTGCAATATTCCTTCCCACTGGTTAGAGAGGGCTGAGTGAACTTGCAATTTGAGAACATCTAGATTCTAGAGGACTACAGGTTCTGGAATTATATGAAGCCCTGCATACATGAAGCAGTGTGTTTAACAGAATTCACAGTTCAACACAATTCACAAGTGGATTGTTAAAATCCCTGTGCTGATTATCACTTGAGCAAATGGCAGATCAAGAAGATTACTAGAGTCAATGAAAGTGTTATTTTGAGCCTGATTAAATTATCAACCAGAATCGCCAGCTGGACAAGGAAAAATAAATGAAATGGAAGGACATGGACCTATCCCTCATTCTGAACAATGACCAACAGACAGTGCATGCACACCATGTGCAAAGGGAAGGAGAAGCACGTTACTGGGCTTTGTGGAGATCCCATCAGCCAAAGGTGACTGCCTTGAAGCAAGGGGACTATGCATTAAA